AAAGGAGAAACAGAAAAACTAGATATAATAGAAAAATAAAATATATACAGTAAGATGGTAGATGAAACACAAGTACATTAATAATTGTCTTAAATGTAGGCATACTAGACAGCCTTTATCAAATTAAACCGTGGAGATTATCAGAATACAGGATTTTTAAAATTTCCAACTGTGGAGGTCTTGGTTAGAGGAATGGTTAGAGTAAAGAAAGGAATTACAGTGCAAAATCATGTAGGCCCTGAAAACAGCAAGGTGTTGGGACTGGGGATGGACGCTAGGTTTGGCCATTGGCCTGCCCCTTGCCTGATACATTGCTTAGATTAACCTAAGGAATGTTATATAATAGATTTTTTTTTTGACAAAAATTGCTCACCCAAGCTCTTTTTCTTCTTGTATTTCCTTAAAAGCCAGAGAGTTCTTGGTTCACAACTGCTCCACTGAGACTCCCCCACACTGAGCACTCTCTTTGAAATAGTCCTTCTGGCTCTGTTGGACCAAGTGACTGAGGAATCCTTTCATTCTCTGTGCCGCCACTGTTACACACTGCAACAGCCAACTATATGCTTCTGTAAGACCTGTAGTTTAAATGTAAACAGAATTATAGGCATTTTTAGAACAATTTTAAATAAGTAATTATCAAAAGTTCCCACCTAATCCTCCCCAAAGTACTTCCTCCTTCATTGTATAAATAGTGTACTATGCTTCCACATCACCTACTGCACTCCAATTTATTAGGCACCATAAGCATAGGCCAAGAAGATAAAAGCAGCAATCTAAGCAAACACATACTCAGTGTTTTTTCTAAGGCCCAAGGGAAGAAAAATTTCCCCATTGGCTGGTTTCTTATGATTTCTGGAAAAAAGTGTGAGTACAATTACAGTCTCTAAAAAAGGGTGAAACATGCAAAATCATTTATTGTTTTTAAATAATAAGTTCATGCAAGGAACTCTTTTAGAGTTATTGAATGATTTTATCCGTCAAATTCACTTAAGCAATGTTGAAAGAAAAAGTGAGGAAGTTCCTTGTGGTCTTTTTAAACCTCTTGCCTTGTCCTTGCTAATTTCCTGTTTTGAATATCTGGAAGTAATTGATAGCTCTTATCTAAATTTTATGACCTTTTAGATTAGAAAACTTGGGGAGGCCTTGTAATTCAGTTTTCCACAAAAGAAAGATAAATTTTCAACATAACATTTTAATTTTCATGAAGCTTTATTATAATGTCAAGAAAACGACTAATCACATCTGAAAAAGCCTGATTTAAACTCTTAGTGAATCTTCAAAAGTGTCAAAAGTGATAATATGCTGATAAGATACAGAATTCTTATAGACAAGGACAACAGTTAAACTATTATCTACTGCTTGACTGATGAGCCACTTTCTTACAAAACTTCTAATTCTTTCAAACTCTATCAGCTTGAGTATCAAGTAATCAAATACTTCCCAATGACAAATATTTATAGAATTGAACAAATAGAATCATAGTCATAGTCCATAACTGTTTCAAGGTGATATATATATATGATGTTTTTGACAGTTACAGATCTATTTTCCTCTGAGAAACTAGATAGGGCAGGGGTACATACTTCTCAAATCTCCCTAACAATAGTTACACATAGGAGACCTTTAGATGGAAGATGGGTGATAAAGGAGCATGGATCTAGGATCATTCTCAAGTTTTGGATTTGCATAACTCCCAGGGTTCTGGTTTTCTTTATCTAGAGGATACTAAATTAAAGCTGGACCACTAAGCTACTAAATGTTAAAGGGTGCACCATTCACTTAGTACAGGAAAATCAAGTAAGGAAAACTGAAGAGTTTGGACATGCCCATACTGATTTTTGATGTTCAAATTGACTGGTCTGAAGCTCAGATGATTATTGCAGTAGAAAGAATGATTCAAGGGCCAAGAGTGCACAGGTGATTAACATGATCTTTCAAGAGACTCTGAATTAAAAGACAATATCAACCATGGGATCTAAGACTCATCAACATCAATATCTTAGAGCTGATCAGAAGAAGAAGAAGCCTAAGAAGATGAAGATGAAGAAAGTCAGGGATCTGCACAAAGAGTTGGGTATTTTGCTATTGGAATCAAGAGGAAGAGCAAACATTAAGAAGTGTTAAAAAGAGCAGAATAAATATGTACTTCTGCAACACAGTTTTATCAGTGCTAAGCAATCATGGATTTTCTAATTCAGCTTAATAACTCACTGGTATTTCTCATCTATTTAATTCCAGCTATATTCAGGCAAACTTTTAAAACCAATCTTTGGAATACAACCTTTTTCAGTTTCTTAGGGTAACCGTGCAAGAAATTACTAGAAATCTGATGGCTTAAAAGAGCAGAAATTCATTCTCGTAATTTTTGAGGCCAGAAGTCTGAAATCAAGCTGTGTTAGGAATTGGTCTTTTCCCAGGAGAACTTGTTACATTTCTTTTTCTTAGATCTGGTGGTAATCAGCAATCCTCACCATTCCTTGGCATGACACAGAATAACTTGTCTCCAAGATCATATGATGTTATAGTTTAAAGGAAGTGTTCCCCAAAGGCTTAGTATTGAGGGTCTGATTCCCAGTGTAGTAACATTCAAGGTGAGTCCTAGAGAGAGCACTGGAGAATGACAGAGCTAACTTCATCTACTTAGGACTTAGTAGCTGATTAGGCTATTATGAGTTGAGGCCCAGTTAAAGAAACTGGGGCATGCCTTTAAAGGGTCTACCTTGTTCCCGATCTGACTTTTTCTTTCTCTGCTTCCTAGATGCCATGAGTTATACAGTTTTCTCCACAATGATGTTTCTACATCACCAAGGGCCTAAGAAAACTAAGCCAGTTGCCTATGGACTAAATCTTCCAAAACTAGTGAGCCACAGTAAACTCCTTCTCCTTTAAACTCTACATGTCAGGTATTTTGGCCCAGCAAAAGAAAAGTAACTAATACACATGGTAATCTACCTGAGCATCTGTGTCCAAATATTCCTCTTCTTATACATAGTGTTCACTCGATTAATCTAGTATAACTTCATTTAATTTGAGTAAATACACAAAACTACTTTCAAACATTACATTTCGAAATTTTGGATAGCAATGAAGTTTGGGAAGACAATACTTAACTCAGTACACTTATCCTAGAGGCAAGCCCATACATTTACAGATGCTACATCAACTAAAGTCTAGCATAAATGAATATATTTAAAAATAGCATGGTATAAAAGTAGATGAATTTTATGTGGGCACAAAAATTTTATTCTTCTGTCTTTTTTTGACTGTGCTAGAAGCTCAGTAGAAATTCTTCATACAGAACATTTTTTATTTGATATCTCCTCTGGTATGAGACAGCCCTCTTAATTTTCTAAACATGTTTTTGCTTGCTTGCTTTCCTTTCTTTCTCCCTTCATTCCTTCCTTCCTCCTCAGGGAAATAATAGAATCAGAAAACCTTTCTCATTTTTAAAGACCACGTTTAGATGGTTATACTAATGGATTCTTTAAAGCTCTAAGTAATGAGAAGTGTGGCAAAGAATCATACATTAATTCACAAGACAAAAGGTATCTTTTCTTCATTATCATCAAATATTTACTATACACTTTGGTCTTTGTGGTACCAGTACAGGGAAAAAATGTAACTCCCAATCTAGTAGATGTCAGATATGCCACATTTGTGTTCCCCAAAATCAAAGAATGAATTTTAAGGAACATCAGAAGTCACAAATAAGAAAGTTATACTGAAGGAGATAGCTCCTGAGAGTCAGGAGGGGAACCAAAAGAGGCTTGCCAGTAAGTTCACTTCTTGAAGGAAGTTTTATAGAGCAAAAATCACAAGGTGGGTACAAAGTCATGAGGTAGATACAATGTAGGTCAAAACTGATCAAACAATAAGATTCCAAGTACAGTTGCTTAGGTAGTATTTGTCTAATGGGGAAGTAGGTCACCTAGCAAGTATATATGGAAAGAACAAAGAACATTTTTTTAGGAAGGGATGGATTGGGAGGTCTTGGTCACCCACCTGGTGACTGATGTCTGTCTAGACTTTATTGGGACCAGACAATATCACAGGACCTATCCTTATCTGAGTGCCTACATTTCTATATAACTTAGCTGTCTATAACAGCACCAGGCGATACTAAATGCATTAGGGTGTCCAAAAGTTCGCTAAAAAGACATCAGGGCGGAGCAAAACTGTGCACAAACATAAAAGTACCGTAACATTTTGCAATAATAATTCTCACGTTACATGGAGTCATCCTGTTAATCAAAGGAGTGACTAACACGATTCATGGTGGAGCTTTCTTCATCATTATTAGTTTCTTCTCAGTTGCTTTTCATCGTGACACTTTCCACGGTCCCCACATCAGAACCAAGCCAGGCCTGGCTGACCATGAGGAGGCCAGCAGAGCCCTGAGAACCCCAGAGCCCACCATGGGCTTCGCAGGCCGAGGCTGCCAGGGAAGGGGCAGCAGTATTAGAATGATTTTAGGTTTTCTATCAGTTCTGGAAGTCGATTTGACCTTGCACGTTCAATCAGTAACGCTAAGCAGGTGTCCAATGTGTCTTTCCGAGCCCGGGGCAGCGTAGATTGGGGAGCACATTAAGCAGGGAAAGTAAGTCGTGCTGTAGAGCACGCAGCTCTGTGAAATGAAGCCTTTCGGGACCGTCCCTGTCCAAGCAACCGTCCGACAGAGCGTCTCCCGGAGCCCGGGAGACACGGGGATCCTAGAAATCTGCGCAGACATGCTCGCGTCGCTCTGAGCGCCGGATAAACACCCGGCCGCTCGTCAGGCTCGGAGCTGGTCCCCTGCCCGGAGTCCGGCGCGCTTTTCCCGCCCTCCACTTCCTCTCCCACCGCTCCCGCCCGCGCCCAGTGCGCCCCGGCCCCGCCGCGCAGGGTCCCCGCGGCCTTCCCGCCCGACCCCACCCCACCCCGGACCGAACTGCAGCGAATTCCTGTGGGTCCCGGGAGCGCCAAGAGTGCGAGCGAGACGGGAAATTGCAAAAGTCCTGGGCCCTCCGCCTCCCGCGGCCTTCCCGTAACTCCCGCCCTCGGCTCGCGCCCCGCACTGATTCATAGCCGCGCGCACGTCCGCCCCGCGCCCCGCGCCGCCGAGGACCGGCCGGCTCCGGCGCCCTGGCCGCCCGGGGTGAGTAGCCCGCGCCCCTCCCCGCGGGCCGCGGCCCCGGCCCGGGCCCCGCCGCGCCGCCCGGGCGCACGCACGCCGCCTCCCGCGCGCCCCTCTCGCGCCGTGGGGAAAGTTTGCCGAGCGCGGAGCCACTGCGCCCCCTCACGCCTCTCTGGCGACGCCGTGCCACGGGCCGTCGTCCCCGCCCGGCCCCGTCGCCAGCGCCCCGACGGCCGGCGGCTCCCTGGGCCTCCCCGTGGGGGCCGCAGCAGGCGCCTCGCCTCGGACGGGGACAGCGCCGGGTCGCTCGCTGGGAGCCCGACCCGCGCCCTGCTGCCCTGGGCGAGCCCGAGGTCAGAGCCCGGGGAGGACCGGCAGGGCACCCACCCCGAGGAGCACCAGCCCTGCGCCCGTCCACCCGGCCCCCATCTATGTGTCCGTCTCCAGCTGTCCTTTCCTCCTGGTCCGTCTGTCCCGCTGTTGTGTAATGAGAGGTGCGCTGCCCCGTACCGCTGAGCCCTGCCTCAAACGCTGGAGAAGGCGCTTTGAGAACAAACTGATTTCTAACTCCAGAGGACAAAAAGACTGCATGGAGGCAGGGGAGATGCAGGAGGGCCTGTGGTATTCGATTTGGACTCGGAGGCACCATGGCAGTAGGAAAAGAGACCAATGGGTCTTAATCCCAGGTCAAACTGACTGTAGGATTTGAGTCAAGTTTCTTCTCACACCTAAGCTTGTTTCCTTGTTTATGAAATAATAGTGATTCATATGTACTATAAAGCAGGCACCATTCCAAGTATGCACTTCGCGTGTTGGTGCATTTAAACTTCATCGGAGACTAAATGAGTTACTACTCTTAGCATCCTCATTTTATCGAGGAAACGGAGGCCCAGAGAGATTAAAGATCTGGATTCTGGTCATGAAGCCAGCAGGTAGCAGAGTTAGGATTCGACTATGGAGGCTGTAGTTCATAACCACTTGCTGTACCCAAACTCTAGGCTTCTGAGAGTGTGCCTGGAAGTGGTCTATTCATTCTTGGCCTGCTTTATCTCTGGCCTGGGTTGCTTTAAGGTGCATTCTGAGACTCTGCAGTAGAAGAGGTCCCACAGGTCACAGTGCTAGGGTTTCCCAAACTGAACTGTGCCTGGGAACAGTTGCAGGGGAGGGGAGAGTTTGACCTCTGATGCCTACTCAGAATCTTTAGGGCATGCTGAGTTCCACACCTCCTTGGGTAGGAGGATTTGGGTACTGTTAGAATGGCCCCTATAGCAGAAAGTTCACTACCTCACATCGGACTGCTGGACAGAGCTAATTTGCAGTTGTTCTTTGTGTCCTTGGGACCACATCTTCGTCCTCATCCCCTTTCCAGTTGTCTCAGCTTTTTGTATTAAAGGCAGCTTTGCAGGAACAGGGCAGGTGTTGGGTGTCAGGAGAAAAGTGAGACCCTGGGGAGAACCCGTGGCTCTAGATCGCTTTCCTTCACTAGACCAGGGTGTTCTTACTAGAGAGAACAGACCGTGCTTGCTGTTTTTCTAACTCTTGTATCCTGAGAAAGGAACCACGTCAGGAAAACTATTATGGTTTGAAACAGGAATCAGTGATATTGTGTCTCACAAGAGGAAAACATGTTTTCCTTGTGGGAACTGGGCTGGCGTTTGTTGGCTCCAGTAGAGAGGAATATTTATTGAGTGTCATCTCGTTTGCTTACAGGAACAGTGAGCTTTGGCCTTCCCTTCCCTAGAAGAGGAAATCTTCCTGGTTTTAAAATAATGTGTGAACTGGAAAATATAAAACAAATAGGATGTCTTGATCTTTCTAGAGAAAATTTTTCCCACCAAGCAAGCTTATTTGAAACTAGACAGTTTGTTTCCCAGTTGCTGTGTCCTGGGTTTCCCAGCCCAGCTTCTCTCTCCTTTCTAGTTCTGCTGCCTCCTCAGCATTTACTCCAAGTTCTGTTGGATTCATAGGCAACACAACCCAAGTAATGACTGAATACGCTTTCACTCCAACAATCCAGAAGCATATGCAGTGAACAGCGACTTGTGACCATCATCTGAATACCACGCTTAAGGGTAAGAGTTAGCTTTGGGTAATGTCTTTCTAAGATGTTTCTGTTTTGTCTAAAGATATACAGAATATGTACATGCATGTATGTCTTTATGTTATATGCACTGATTATACAGTTTCCTTTTTTCACTTTCATTCGTGGACATTTGAATTTTGTGAACTTATTTAACTTTAGCAATGATGTTTTAGGAAGACCGTGCTTTTATTTTTAGCAAGTGTGTTTATTTCTGTGGACTGGAATCCCGGGAGAGGTACTGTTAGGTCAGAAGGTTGACCCATATTTCTACATACAACCCTTCGAATCGTAGCTCTTCCCCCACCGTCCTGATTTAACCTCAATACATGATGATTGTTACCACCATCCCTTCTAACATCTGCTGGTAGTTTTTAATTTCCAGAGCCAGAAAGTGAGTGAAAACCAATACATTGTTTTACCATATTTTGCTGGTTAGTGCTGCAATTTAAAACTCTATATTTATGGCTCATTTATGTTCTTCTGTGAATTACCTACTTATGTCTTTTACTTGTTTTACTCTTGAGTTGTTATTTCTTATTCCTTATTGCAGAAAATTTGTACCTATTTGGATCTTAATCTACTGTTTCTTATAAATGATGCAAGTATTTCTCCTAGTGTACTTCTTTCTTTTCCAAACATTTTTACTGTGCTAAAATATATATAGTATTCGCCATCTTAAGTCTATTTACTATTAACTGTATTTACCTTTTATTACTGTACTTTTGAGATGATGAAGCTATGTAGTTCAGGCTGGCTTTGAACTCACTGTGTACCCAGGCTGGACTCAGACTTGCAAGGTCTTCCTGTATCGCTTCCTGAATTCTGACTACAGGTGTGTGTCACCACACCTGGTTTACCATTTTTACTAAACAGTTCATTGCTAGTAAGCATATTCATATTATGTGCAAACTGTGGATGCCACCCATCTCTGGAACATTTTTATCTTGCAAAACTGAAATTCTGTTCTCATTAAATAATAATTCCTCATCTCCCTACTCCTCTGGCTACCACCATTCTACTCTCTGTCTTTTGGATGTGACTAAACTAGGCATGTCACATAAGTGAACTCCTACAGGATTTGTCTTTCTGCCACTGTCTCATGTAGTGTACTATTCTTAAGGGTCATCCGTGTTTCAGCATGTATCAGAATTTCTTTCATGTTTTTGTCTGAATAATGTTCTGTTGTCTGTGTATGCCACATATTCCTAATTCATAATGTTGTTGCCTTTGACTTAAAAGTTTTAAATATTTATCACAATAAACTCATCATTTAAAGTTTTAGACAGTTTATCCAGTACCACTTATTTAAGTTTATCTTTTAAAAATGCATTCAAAATTAGTTTGTGTCATAAAATAGATTCCCCTTTTTATAAGGACTCTTTCAGAACTTTAATGGCTTTTATCTCCTCTGTCATTACAAGTTTTTTGCTAAACACTATAACTTTAATAGTATGCTTTTATGTTTAGTAATACATATTTGCATCTTTAAAAAGTTTTAAAAGTGGCTCTCACACAGATCTTTTTATATAAACTTTAATTAATCGGTCAAGTTTAAGAAAATCCTGTTGAATTTTTTCTGAGTTTCTAATGTTTAACTGTTTAATTAATTAATTCTTGTGGTGCTGGGGGTGAACCCAAGACCTTCCTTATACTAGGCAAGTGCTCCTACCGTTGATGTATACCCCAGCCCTTACCGCCCATTTTAGTCTGTGCTGCGTAGTATATGTGTTATATAGTAAAGGATTGGGCTCAGGCGAATGGCTCACTTGGGAGACCAGGCAGTTTGCCTCCAAGAGGGTAATGTGTGAAGCTATGAGAGTGAAGTTGAAGGCTCAGTACGGATCCAGGAAATTGCCAGGAATGTTGAACATCTGCCAAGGAGAGCTTTTAGGCAGTGAGCAGAGCCAATCCAAGGGAGAGGCCACTTGTGCTGCAAGCAGCAAGACCACGAAATAGGGCTGTGCAAGGCCTTTGGAGCTCGTATCTTACCATACTTTACCTTGGGTACAGGATATGCAGGTACAAAGTTTAATGTTTTCCCTGCTGGATTTTGCTGTTGTTTTGGTCCAATTAATTTCTATCCCTTTATTCCTCCCTTATGGAATGGAAAGACTTACCCTGTGTCATTGTATGTTGCAACAGTTTAGCTTTCATTTTTTTTTTTAAATTTTTACAGGGGCTCAAGGCTAAAAGTTTGCCTTGAGTCTCAGAGGAGACTTCAATTTAGATTTTGCAGTCATGCTGAAACTGTTAAGACTTTGGCTACTCTTAGACTAAATATATTTGATCATGAATCTTTGGGGGCCAGAGGTGGAATATTACAGTTGGTATCTAAAATGTTCCTGAAAAGTCTCACATGCTTGGAAGGTGATTGGATCATGGGATCTTTTATTCATCAGTAATTTGTCCATTGATGGGTGTGGCTGTGGAATGCGTTGTTAGGATATGGAGGCTTGCTGGAGGTGGTCACTGGGGATGTGACCTGAAAGGGTGTATTCTTCTTTGTAGCTTCTTTCTTCTCCGTTTCCTAGCTACCATGGCATGAGCAGTTTTTCTCCACTGTCATGTTTCTGCCTCAGTGCTAACTGACCAGGGACTGAATCCTCTGAAAACCATGAGCCAAAATAGATTTCTTGTCATTTAAATTGTGGGAGTCAGGTGTTTTATCCCAGTAACGTTCAGTACAGAGGGCAAGAGATAGATGGATGGATGGATAGATAGATAGATAGATACCCCTTGTAGCATGAAATTCTAGCAATAGAATTCTAGAATTACTTCTAGATCAAAGCAAATGACATAAAATGTTAATAAATACAGTCAAATAGACCTGGATAAAGGTGCCCTCACTGATCATTAATGAATGGCAGTACTTATTTCTGCAAACTCTTATCCAGGTGAGGTACTCTGCCATTTTAAGCTTTGTCATTTGAATACTACATAGACACAAGCATACAGATGCAAAAAATTACTGCTTTAATTTGGATTCCTCTCTCACTGATCTTGCCTGGATTTTCCTTTGTCTTTTTGGGAGCGTGTATATTTCTTTTCATGAATGGCACACTCACGGTTTTCTACAGAGTTGCTAGCCTTTCTTATTTCTAAGAACTCTTGATATATTATGGGTGGCAGCTGTTTGCCTTTTTATATTGATGCTGTCATTCCCAGTTGCAACACTAAATTTTTTAAGGGTTTATGCAATCAGTATAGTTTTCGTTTTCTTTATTGCTTCTGGGTTTCATATCATGTCTGCCAGATTATAAAAATAGTCACATATGTTTTATGCTGTTGCTTTTGTGGTTTCATTTCTCACATGTGTCTTTGTTTAGCTGAAATTTATTTTGCTGAGGCAAGTAATGCAATAGCAATAATAATACAATTACTCTTAATTCAGTTTACTACATGAAAATTCTCAGGATCCCAGTTAATTGCAATGCATATGCTATAAATTATGATTTTTCATTTACAGGAAAGGAAATTTAATCCCACTGGGGTTAAATAACATACTTTTTAAGTTCTAAAGCAGGGATTTGATCCTAATTAATCTTAACCCAGAGCTCATGCACATCACTATGATTGAAAAATAAAAATACAGTGTTTAAAAGACTCTCTCTGGCTTTGAAAACACTTAACCCATCTGTCTTGGTTACTTTTCTCTCATTGCTGATACAAAATACCTGACACCCAAAATGAGGGAAGGAGAGATTTATTTAGCTTACAGTTTTGGAGGTTTCAGTCCATAATCAGCTGGCTGTGAGGCAAGGTGGCATGGCACAGGGGCAACACTTCAAAGCAGCAGCCAGAGCAAGAGGAACAAGGCCAAACCTATTTTCTTCCTTTATATTGCACACAGGCCACAAACACATCCCCACCCAGGGTGGGTGTAGCATTCACAATACATCTGTGCCTTCCTCTTGCACAGGATGAGGATATTTACAAAGTAAAAATCCTGGCTCCCTGCTGAGTCTCTTAGTTAAACTTCTGAACTTCTCAAGTTGACACAATGCATCAACCATAACACCATCATTCTTGCCACTTTCTAAAGCAGTCTGAAAGTCTGCCCTCCTGAGTGTTTCCTTTAGTGATAGCCTTGTGGCTGTCCTGATGCCCTGACTCAGTTAAAAACACTTACCTTTGAGGGTTATTTTGACTTTGGGGAAAAGCCAGACATCACATGCTGCCAGATCTAGTGAATAAAGTGGGTAAGGACACACCATATTGCCTGTATATGCCTGCGGTTCTGTTGCAGGGCAGTTGGCAGCAGCATTCCTGTGTTTTTTAAAATCGTATTTTGTAAAGGCACTCATGAAAGAGGAATGTCAGAAAATGAAAAGAATGATGGGACATGTGTATTTGAAGCAAAAGAGAGTGTTTTATGGGGAATTAATGACAAATTGTCTTTTACTGTAATACTTTTAAAAAGGTAAACATTCACTATGTTTTCAGTCACCCTTTATACTCCAACTTCATTTTTCCCAGATGATCTTACCAGTACCATTTGGGGAATAATATACCTTTTTCTCAAGTGACTTGAAGTATCACCTTTAGCATATCTGAATTCCTACATATTTTTTATTGATGCTATATTTTTTTGGATTTGAGTTAACATTTCTTTCTTTGGCTTCATCACCACTGCCAGACTCAGCTTTAATCTAGCTGATGCTATAAATTCCAGAAATCTTGAACTGAATATTGCTTCTTTAAAAAAAAAAGTCAGATATGCCTGCCTAATTAATTCCATGAATCAGAATTTTTCCTTACAAGGTTGGTAGAAGCGCTTAACCATTATTTACTGGAGGGGATTCAGATGGGGTTTGGGGAGAAGCACTTGAACCTTTCCTTGGACATAGCTCCTGGTGTGGATCCTTGAGTTAGGAAGGGGGTTAGAGTAAACCTGTTGGTAGCCAGTTCTATGCTGTAATGATGGAGGATCCCTAAAACAGGATCCCAAATACAAGTTACAGTGCTCTTAAAAAAAAAGAAATAAAGATA